GAGGCGGAGGCGGAGGCGGAGGGAGGCGGAGGCGGAGGCGGAGGAGGAGGAAGAGGATGAGGAGGAGGATGAAGAGGAGGAGCAGGAAGAGGAGGAGGAGGAGGAGGAGGCGGAGGCGGAGGTGGAGGCGGAGGCGGAGGCGGAGGAGGAGGAGGAGGAGGAGGAGGAGGAGGCGGAGGAGGAGGAGGAGGAGGAGGAGGAGGAGGAGGAGGAGGAGGAGGAGGAGGAGGATTGCAGAGTGGAGGGGGGAGGAGGAACAGGATCAGAGGGAGGACCGAACGGAAGAAGACAAGGGCGGAATGGGGGGCCCCAGCGGCGCAGGCAGCCGCGCCCCGCGTCGGCTCGGGCGTGCTGCTGCGCGAGGGGTCGCGGCTGGATGGGCCGCGGCTAGCGTTCCCCAGCGGCGGAGGCCATGCGGTGGGCCCCACTCCCCGTTCCGGACCACCGCCGAGCCTCCACTTACAGCACGCATTTTGCACCTTGTCGATTGCACTGCGCAGATCGCCCCGCGTGAAGTGTGCACCCCATCAGTTGCAATCGTCCGCTGTGTGGGGCCACCGCTGGAATTTCGTTATCGCGGAGAGAGCGGTGATCCACCGCCGCTTTACTGTGGAAAATTCCCCCCCCCCCCTCTTCCTCCGTGTCCCCCCCCGAAAATCCCCCCCCCCCTGCTGACCCCCCCACCCTTCCCCCCGGCAAATGGTGCGGACAGTGGTAGGGACCCGGGAGTCGTTTGCTAGCGGTGAGCGTGGGGGGGGGAGGGGTTCGAACCAGTAGTGACACCCCCCGGTTTTCTGGAGGGGGGGGTTCGAGCCAGTAATGACCCCCCCCTGGTTTTCTGGGGGGAGGGGGGCTTCGAACCGGTAGTGACCCCCCCCGGTTTTCCGGAGAGGGGAAGGGGGTCGAACCGGTAGTGACGCTCCCCCGGTTTTCCGGAGGAGGGTGGGGGAGGGGGGGTTCGAACCAGTAGTGACCCCCCCCCCCGGTTTTCCGGAGAGAAGGGGGGGGTCGAGCCGGTAGTGACCCCCCCCCGGTTTTCCAGAGGGGGGGGTTTCGAGCCGGTGGTGATCCCCCCAGTTTTCCGGAGGGGGGGGGGGTAGGGGGGGGCTGTCTCCAGCACCACTGTCCTCACCACCACTGTCCCTCCTGTTCCCACCACCGTCCCCACTGTCCCCACCAGTGCCCCCACCACTTTCGCACTGTCCCCACTGTCCCCACCACTGTTCCCACCCAGCGCCGTCCTCGCCACCGCCCTCACCACTGTCCCCACCACCGCTGTCCCCATCACTCTCCCACTGTCCCCACCACATTCCCACTGTCCCCACACCACTTTCCCCACCACCACCGTCCCCACCACTGTCCCACTGTCCCCACTGTTCCCACCATTGTCCCCGCTGTCCCCACCAGTGCGCCCACCAGTGTCTCACTGTCCCCACTCTCCCCACCATTGTCCCACCACTGTCCCACCCTCCCCACTTTCCCCACGGTCCCCACACTGTTCCCATCTTACCCACCACTGTCCCACTGTCCCCGCCGCTGTTCCACTGTGCTGTCCCACTGTCCCCACTGTCCCCACCGCTGTCCCACTGTCCCCACTGTCCCCACCACTCTCCCCACTGTCCTACTGTCCCACCACTGTCCTCACCACCGCCTTCACCGCTGTCCTCACCACTACCGTCCCCACCGTTGTCCCACTGTCCCCACCACTGTCCCGCTGTCCCCTCACCACTGTCCCCACCACCACCGTCCCCACCACTGTCCGCACCACTGTCCCACTGTCCCCGCACCACTGTCCGCACCACCACCGTTCCCACCACCGTCCCAGTATCCCCACCATTGTCCACCTGTCCCGAGGAGCGGAATCGTTTGCCGTCGGCGAGGGGGGGGGCCCACTGTCCCCGCCGCTGTCCCATTGAGCTGTCCCACTGTTCCCACCACTGTCCCCACCACTGTCCCCACCACTGTCCCCACTGTACCTCTGTCCCATTGTCCCACCGCCTTCCTCGCCACCGCCCTCTCCACTGTCCCCACCACTGTCCCACTGTCCCCACCACATTCCCACTGTCCCCACACCACTGTCCCCATCACCACCGTCCCCACCACTGTCCCACAGTCCCCACCAATGTCTCACTGTCCCCACTCTCCCGACCATTGTCCCCGCTGTCCCCACCAGTGCCCCCGCCAGTGTCTCACTGTCCCCACTCTCCCCACCATTGTCCCATCACGGTCCCACTCTCCCCGCTTTCCCCACGGTCCCCACCACTGTCCCACTTTCCCCACTGTACCCACCACTGTCCCACTGTCCCCGCCGCTGTCCCACTGTGCTGTCCCACCGTCCCCACTGTCCCCACCGCTGTCCCACTGTCCCCACTGTCCCCACCACTCTCCCCACTGTCCTACTGTCCCACCACTGTCCTCACCACCGCCTTCACCGCTGTCCCCACCACTACCGTCCCGACCACTGTCCCACTGTCCCCACCACTGTCCCGCTGTCCTCTCACCACTGTTCCCACCACCACCGTTCCCACCACTGTCCGCACCACTGTCCCACTGTCCCCGCACCACTGTCCGCACCACCACCGTTCCCACCACTGTCCCAGTATCCCCACCATTGTCCACCAGTCCCGAGGAGCGGGAATCGTTTGCCGGCGGCGAGAAGGGGGCGAACCGGGACCCCCCCTGGTTTTCGAGGGGGGGGGGGGCGGGTTCGAACCGGTAGTGAGCCCCCTTCTTCATGATGGACTGGGGGGGGGAGGGGTTCGAACTGGTAGTGACCACCCCTCCCGGTTTTCGAGGGGGGGGGGAACGGGTTGGGAACCCCCAGTGACCCCCCCCCCCGGTTTTCCGCCAGCAGCGGTAGAACACGCTCTTTCTTACCGCGCTTGTTCGGTTTTCGTGTGCAGGTGTTTGCGCAGGCGGCACCCTGCGTGGCGTCCCGTCGATGACTCCGCAGACGACGTTCGCCTGTGGAAGTTTCCTGTCCAGGCTCTTGACGGGCGTCACACGTGACGCGTTGTCCCGCAACGTCGACAAGGCCGTGCGTCCTTGAACCTCTTCGGGCCCGTTTGGGTTGGAGCGTATTTGTCAGGAGGAAAAGAAACACACAGACACAATTAATCCTCGATTCCCCAGAAAATATGGGAAAATATGGGAAGTGGGGGGGGAAGACAGAAACCCAGAAAATATGTGAAAATATGGGGAATATTTTTATCTGTGTGTATTTATTTGTGTGTCCTGGGGCCCCTTCCATTTGGGCCACGCAGGGGCCGTCGTCGGGCCTTCTTTTAAGCACTCTGGAGGTCACCCCAGGGAGGGAAGGCACGGAAAGTAGAATGCAACCCCATGCCTGCTTTTTTTGGATGGCTTGGGCTGCCTGGGCGTGCTCCTCATCGTCGTCCTCCTCATCCTCTTCCTCTTCCTCCTCCTCCTCCTCCTCCTCCTCCTCTGTCCCTGGTTCGTCGTCGTCCTCCTACTCCTCCTCCTCCTCCCTTTCCTCCTCCTCCTCCTTCTCCGCCTCCCCCTGGTTCCTCGTCGTCCTCCTCCTCCTCCTCCTCCACCTCCTCCGTCTCCTTCTCAGGTGTCCTGTCCTGGAGAATCTTGCGTCGTATTCGAGGCCTCTCGGGTATGCTGTTGGCAGTCTTGGAGACCATCTGGGGCATCTCGGAGGTCTTGGAGACCGGCGTCTTGTCGCCCAGGGGGACTTGGAAGGATGGGGAACCATGCATGCTGGTTCGCGCGAATAGGGCAGGGGGAGAGGGGTAGAAAAAAGGCAGACCAGGAATGATGCACAACAATCCCCCCCTGCTCCCCTTCCTCCTCTTTCATCATCCTCCCCCCTCTCTCCCTCTTTCTTCTCCTCTCTCCCTTTCCCCCTCTTCCTTGCCTTCGCCTGTCTCATCTCTCCATCCTCTGTTTCCTCCTCTTGCTCCTCCTCAATCCCTTATTCCCCCTCGTCATCCACCGCCACGTCTGTCCTCTCCCTCTCTTACCCCTTTGCTCCTAGCTTGCCCTCCTCAATCGCTTCCTTCTCTCCTCCCCATCCCGCTCCTTGCTCTGTTCCTCGTCCTCGTCGTCCCCCTCGCCGTCATGTTGTCGTTTTCGTCGTTGTCGTCTTCTATCTCTGCTTTTCTCCTTCCTTTCTTTTCCTCTTGCTCCCCTGCCTTGTCCAGCCTCCTATCATCTCCTTTATCCTCTCCTTTCCGTCCTCCTCTTCCCCATGCCCCGCTTTTTGTCCGCTCTCCACTGGTCACAGGCGAGCCAGGGCGAGGGATGTCACCGCCTTAGTCACACCAGATCGGCAAACACCGTCGGCGCTTCTCTCTCTCTCTTTCTCTCTCTTTCTTTCTCTGTCTATCTTTCTCTGTCTCTTTTTCTATACATCTCTCTCTCTATATAGTTTTCCTACCTCTCTCCCTCTTTCTCTCTCTCTCTCTCTCTTCTTTATCTCTCTCTATATATTGAGCGCGTCTTGTCCTTCTTGCTCTCTCTCTCTCTCTCTCCCTCTCTCTCTCTATCGAAGACGCCTACGGCGAATCACCGCCGCCCCCTGCCTTTTTGGAAGCGCCTATGTGGCCGAACGTTGCAGCCAGACCTTCCAAGCTACCGGACCATGTGTTCCCCGAATCGGTTTGGAAAGCCTCCGGGGAACACGTGGGCATCTTGTAGGTAATCTTGGCCGTCTGGAGGCCACCTTGACCCTTTCGGGCCTTCTTGGAGGACGTCTTGGTGGGCTCTTGGGCCGTCTTGGAGGCCATCTTGAGCATTTTGGAGGCCTCTTGGGCCGTCTTGGGGGCCTCTTGGGGCCGTCTTGGGCGATCTTTGGGGGCACTTGGGCCTTCTCGGGCCGTCGGAAGGCCGAACAAAAAGCAAATGCCACAATCCTTCAACAACTCATGGGAAATCACTGATTTTGGCCTTTTCGGGCCTTCCTGGAGGCCCTCTTGGATGCCTCTTGGGCCGTCTTGGGCCATCTTACGACCATCTTCTGCCGTCTTGGTGGGCTCCTGGCCCGTCTGACGCCGTCGGAAGCCGTCTCGGGGGGATCTCTGGGCCGACTTGGGGCCCTCTTGGAATGCTCCAGGGCCGTCTCGGAGGCCATCTTGGGCGTCTTAAAGGCTTCCTGGGCCGTCTTAGGGGCCTCTTGGGGCCGTGTTGGGGGCCTCTTGGGCCGTTCTGGAGCCATCTTGGAGGCCTCTTGGGCGATCTTTGGGCGATCTTTGGGGGCTCCTGGGCCGTCTCGGGCCGTCGGAAGGCCGAAAAGAAGCAAATGTCAAAATCCTTCAAAAACGCAGGGCAACTACTGGCCTTCCTGGAGGCCCTCTTGGAGGCCTCTTGGGCCGTCTTGGGCCATCTTCGAGCCAACTTCGGCCATCTTAGTGGGTTGCTGGCACGTCTGACGCCGTGGTGAGCCGTCTTGGGGGC